AAAGTTTTGTCGAAATAACCTTCGACCAATTTTTTATTGATCAAATGAAGAACGAGTCACCTCATTTTCTCGAAACTGTGAGAATACGCACATCTTTATAATAATATAATAATGATAAAATAAGAATTATAATAATAATAATATTCAGAACATTTTGTTCAATTGAGGCTTATTAATAATTTTAGGACTTATAGGGATGCTTGTCATGCTGGAGCATCAGAACTCCGAAATTAAGGGACATCTTTTGGCTCAAATAAAAAGAAAAATAAAATTTGTTTTTTTTTTAAATATGGTTATTACAAAATACAATTTCGTTTTCGCCTGAGCGTTTGTTGACACATATGATCTCGACATTGTGCAAAATGCAAAACTTGCTTTCCGGCCGTTTCAGTAATTTATGACTTGCAGCCAGTCAGCCACCTACATAAAGAGCTGCCGCCGCCGGACTGCTGTGTTTTGTTTTTAGTACCAGTTCCTCATTCTTATTTTGCTGTGTGGGCGGTACCTTCTACCCATTTATCAGCGAATTTTATAGTTTGTTAAAAACTAAAAAATCCACTTGCACAATTAATTTTGTGTGGAACTATCCTTACTGGAATCAACAGTGCTTACGGAATTCAGATAATTAAGTGTCTTGGTTTTGTTCAAAATTAATAATACAACTTATTCATTAGACATCAGATTAAATAATATGTCTGAGCGCAAATAATATCTCAGTGGAAGCTAAAAAAACAAAAGTTACGTTTCAACATGAACAGGAGTTTCTTATTTTTTCTACATATTTTAAAGTACCTACTAGCAATACGTAAATAAAATTTTCTAACTTAACTCCTATTCATAATACGAAACAAGAAGTCCCACACAAATAATAGCATTAGGTCGCTAAGAATCTAGATCCTCCCCTGGGCGTCCGTTTGGAATTTGAGCCCCCACAGCTGCGGGGGTGTTATTTATGCCACTGGTTTTTACTTTATAGAGATTATCACAAAACAAACCTCGCAAAATCTAATTTTAAAATTTTTTAAAGAAGCGGGATTTATAGGGTTCATAATTTAGGGTCGAGGGCAGTTCTGTCGAAATAAATTTCCACCAATTTTTTCTTAGTAGAAGGGCAAAGTCGCACGTTGATTTTTATCAAATCTCCAGGAATTTTCTTCCAACAACGAAAAAAATCGACATATTTTCATGTTTTGTAAATTTCGGGATTGTATCATACGAGTATAGTGCATGGTTTCTGTAATTTAATAAAAACAAATTTCAAATGTTAAAGTCCTAGTACTTACTGAGCATTTTTTGGTAAAACTTTTTCTTGTTTCCTTAGTTCATTTTACGACGATCATACAGTTTCTATTTTTCATCCCAGGCATCTGCAAAGTTTTTATAAATTTCCAATATTCTTTAGACAAAAAACGGAACTGAACATTGCTTAACCTGTGTGAAGGTTTTTTTTTTTAATTTTATGAGATTTTCTCATAAATAATAAATAAGTTTTCTAACTTCTAAATTATAAAATCTCTTAAGTTTTGTTTTCTCCATAAAAATATACCTCAACTCATTAACTAAAGTATAATAGGTTAATTAAGAATTGCCGGATAAACTATATACATAAATATAGTTTATCCGGCAGACATAACTAAATAGAGACACAGAGGAATCCTGAAATTTAATACGTGCTTATAAGACCATGCTACAAACATGACAACAATTCAACACCTACTAGAGGAGAAGGATGAGGACAATTTCTCATGATAAATGGTAAAATAAAAACCTATCTATCCCTGGATAAAAAATTCTCGACTATTGATTCACCCCTTTAATAATAAATGATCATTCAGTAATTTGTACATTCTCATTTGATCTTTATAATTAAGGAATTATTCAATTCTAAATTCTGAAACTAATAGCTTAACGTTTACAAAATTATGAAGAAAATTTTTGCTCCATGATCAGAATGAGTAGAACACGTTCCTTTTTAATAAAGCGGCGCATCTCCACCTCCAAACCAAAATTTTTATCTCCTTGTCGTCACACATACGAATCCAGGGACCCCATGCGGGCTTTAATCTAAATCCAGCCCTCGCCATGGCACGTCCGACCGTCGGATCCAATTGAAATAAAAAAAAATGTAAACGTCTTCTCTACGTCTCATATAATTTTCATATTCGACACGACATAAAAATTTCGTTAAAGTCGCCTCTTTTCGAAAACACTTGTTTTCGAAAACTGCTCACGTGTCGATCTTGTGCATGCGGATATATCCGTCCGGAGTCTCAGCCCGCTTCCTTCGTAAGAAATGTAAGCCGTATTCCCAAAGGAGGGTTAGATCGATGGTGCTGTGTGCATGCACGGGACTCCCTCGAAATATTACTGCCTTCTGAAACAACCCCAGTCCCGACTGATTTTATAGCCGCCAACGCTTTTACCTCTCTTCTATCCCGGTGACACAAAAACATACACCGAACGAAACCAATTTGTTGTCAACCAAAGCAAGAGTTTCAATTTATTACTTTTTTTGATCCAATTGACCCTCTGCCGGATTCTTTGCCAAGCATTCGGACCAGGACGGATTATTACCGTGGCCCTTTTTTGTCGTTGTGCGATCTGGTTTTTGCCGGATAAGTACCTATCCTTGCTGATTTACATATGTTAGTCCTGGAAATTACGCATTCTCGAGTGTTAACTAGTGTTAAGGGACTACTTGGTCTCTGAAGCGATGATTTTGGTAAGCGAATGGGCGAGGTTAAGTGATGATATTAAGTAAGTGTTGACGGTCGCATGATTTCGAGACAAAAAACACTTACTGAATTATTCAGTAACCGAATGTTGCATGAAAAACTAAAATACTTATTTGCACACATGTCATGTCAAAATTTGTTTCTCAAAATACCTTGTTTTAATGACGTTCCGTTCATTATGTTTTGCATAAAACATAGCCTAAAGTTATTTAAAAACAACTTTTCTCGCCCCTTAAGCACAATCAAACAAATCCAGCTTCTCAAGGAAATTCAAAAATTTTGTTATAATGTAGTAACGCTTATGTATTAAATTAAAAAATATGGATGTATGTGTCAATAAGTTTATTATTTTACACATATTAAATAGAATTTAGTAATCAAACTTACAAAGGGATTCAGTTTCTTAGCTAAATTGTAAAATTTGTTTCGAAATTCTATTTTATTTTTTATAAATTCGTATATTCTCAAATCCAAAAGTATGTAGATAACGGAGAAACAGCTAAATTTTGATTAGTGGTTTACGACGTTTACAAGATTTTAGAGCAATAGGTTTTGTATGTTCAAAGAGACATTTTAAAATTTGTATACAATTTTTTCCATGTTTAAAATGAAGAACAGGGATGAATTAATAACTTGTAAGAAACATCTTGTTTTATAATTATAAATATGTATAATTTATTTTGCAATATTTTGAGATGACTTCAGCAAATTATTTTTTGTAGGGCAAATTTTGGTTCACACTACAGACTTAAGGTTAACTCAAAATTCCACATCATTCGGTCTAGTAATTGGAATTGCAAAGACTACGTGTTTAATAAAACAGACAGAGAAAAGAAAGGCAGACCACAGGCAGGTGGAAACGGGAGATGGACATTTTTCAAACTTAAATTCGAAGAGTAGAATTTAAAGAAAATTTAGCTCAAGATCGGTTTATTCATAGTTATAAATTTATCTAATCTACAGCGTGCTGAAAATTTGCTTAGACAATTTAATAACAAACCTGATGAAGAAATATTTTGGGAAATCTCATTATGGTTAATATATAGATATAATGTTTTATTAAATAAAATAAACTAGAGAGTTGTTAAGGTTTAACGGACGTGTTGCTGTGGATTGTAAATGCTATAAGAAATCAAATTGATTATGTTGTTTGTACCGTATGTTTTTTTTTAATTTCTGCTCTAGTTGACCATGACATGTACGTCAGCAGTGCAATTGAAACGCAGAAATTAAAAAAAAAATCACCAATATTTGAGCTAAGAACTAAAATAAAATTGAAAATAATATATAAAATTTTCGATCATACACATACAGGAATTATTAAAGCAATTTTCATTCACTGTTTACATTATTTTTGATACGATCTAAATCGCTTCCTTTGGAAAAAGGGTTTAACGATTAAAGTTCATCTTTCTTACCGAACCTTGAATTAAAAATAGATATCAATTATTTTTCATCAGAAATAGCATTCCCAGATTCCCTTATTCTTGGAATAGCGTTGGCGGTGCGGTTAATGACGCTATGTTAAAAATAAATAAGATCTTTTAGCTTTTGTTTTCAAAGCGAGGGTGGCTTTTAAGGAGTTGTGTAAATGTTCATAAGGAACAAATATACTTACTTACTAAACAATTTAGCTTAGGCGCCATTTAAAAGCAGAGTGTGTTGCTCAGACTCAATTACTTCGAACGATTTTTTGTAAAAGAATGCTAGAGCAAGTAAATGATTTGGCGAAAGGTCATATACATATAAATACAAATAAATGAAAATGAAAGGTCAGTTTTAGCGTAATGTGATGTTATGAATTTTTCGAGATTAACTGTCGAACATTTCACTGTTTGCGTCTAATATAGCGTAATTTAGCGCAAAACAAATAACACCAATTTAAAAACGTATGTTAAGCTTATGATTTTAAGTCTTTTATATTGTAATTACACATAGGAACAGCGACATCCGTTAGTACCTTCAATGAATGCATCGTAAATCCTCCTAACTTTCTGACTATTGCAAATGATTATATCATGCTATGTGAATATACGTAAAAAGCGATATCACGGTATGGAGTAATTATTGTTTTGAGCGCTAGGCAGCTTTGCATTGATTTGCATTTATAATTAACGTAGATTTTAACAGAGTGAGTCGTAGTAAGTGAAAAATAACTCATCCGTTAGCTAAACCAATTAAACAAGTCCCTAATCGTATTACGATAATAGGAAAATACAAGTGTAAGAATGTTGACGTAACATTAAGTCCTTGTCTCTGTTTTAGATTCGGCGGAGCCACCCTGCGTCAACACTTACTTAAGCAAAATGGGGTCTTCATCAGGAAGGGCATCTACGCGCACACTGCTCGAAATTCTCATCCTTTTGATGCTAGCTCTAAGCGCATTGTAGATAAGTATCTCTTATATGTAAGCAAATGTAGGCCTACTTAGTTGCAAAGCTTCAGACACAGACGTAGAGAATTGGAAGTAAATGATAATTAGAATTACTTATGTAAACTCCGGCGTCTCTATCAAACGACGACGTTAACGACATAATTCAGTTTGTTAAGTTAACAATCACTTTATAATCCTAAATACCAATTAGTATACTTTATATATTTTGTATATAATAGCGCAGTTAATTTCGTGGAAAATCCCATCAACTCTGTTCGAGTGCTTGATCGAGGAGAAACTGTTGCGACAAGTGGAGAATTTAGAGTTATAAAGTGATGAAAAGAAATCAAAACCCGTTGTAGTTTCATAGCAGAAGAATATTTTACTTTATCGGTTTAATTGAATCGTCAGAAGGTTAATAGAGCTTTGAGGATCGGACAGGTTGAACCAGTCTGTACCAGAGAATAAAACAATCACTGAAGCTTTTGATAAATGAACTCAGTCGTTTGTACTGTCAGGAATGCCCTGGAAAAATATATAATAGACGTGATATAACAAACCCTCATTTTGCTGATGTCACCGACAGAATATACTGATAATTTCACGAGTATTGTCAGGTGTGACGCGCGACTTAATGAGACAAGAAATTAAGCTTTGTGAAATATAAGAGACAATGTTAAATATAGCATATGTTAAATTGTATGTCAGCATGCTCGTGGCGACTGTACGCATTTTGACTCTGTATAAAATACAACATTCTTGCATTTATACACAGTCATAGACAATCATATTTATCGATCTTAATAATAATGTTAAGAAACCAATCTTATGTTAGGTGTAGGGAATCATGCTACACTTGCGTCGCGCATGCTTCTGCTATATACAAGAAAAAAATCGTTAGGAATTATGTAAAAATGTGTAGGGAATTAATGTCTAATGAAAATTCGTGATATATGAACTATTCATTTCATCCTTTTAGTATGAGCCAAATTGTATATAAGAGCTAATTTTGTTAAACATATTGTACATTTTATATGACACGTTTCAAACGTTATACCTTAAACCTGCCAATTTATTTCGAGCGTCAATTTCATTGTTGCTACTCAATACATATCATTTACGAAAAACCCAAATTACAAGGTATAATTTTTGAATATTTAGACCACTAGTATATTAACCGTATATGTACATTTAAGAATACGTACAAGTATTATAATGTTACGATAGTTTCCGTTGTTGCAAGATCTGATTTCTTAATCACAGCTTTAGAAGTTTGCTGTTCATTCGTCTGTGCTCGTAATGGAGGCATCCGCCTTCGTTACCCTCGTTAGTTGTCTGTGTGAAGTATGCATATGTTTCCAAAATACTCGTCGCAAGTATCTGTCCAACACCACGCTTGTCAATTTTACCGTACAATAAATTCTAAAGTTTCTGGCCAGCTTTACTGTGCAATGCTGGTTGCTCACACGTCGGGCTTCAATTTTCACACTTCAACGCTACAACTAATAAAAAAGCGAATAAAATACGCCACCACCAATTCAAACGTCTTATGATCACACTGGAAACACAAAGGAACACACCCCATTTTCCCATGACGTATTTTATTCGATGCGAATATACAGCACCGTCAATAACAATCGGATATTGCTGTATGTGGCACAAATCAGTTAAAGTACAATAGGAGGTATCTCCTAACAGTTTTAGTTCCGGAGTTCTGATACAATTAGTGGTAGCAGGCTTGCCACCCTGTCGTTCTTATGCCTGTATTAGATTAGTGCCTATATTACTATATACTACTTATACCTTTATAGTGTAGCTATTTATACCGCGCATACACAAAGGGCTGGAAACAGCTGAAATGAGCTGCTGCTGTGAATACATATCAACTTAAAATTAGCGATGCACATAGGCGTCGACATTGTTTGCTTCCTCCCACTTCTAGTTTCACATGATTCTAAGACTGGACGAGTTTATTGTTGAACTTTTTATACCTGCACTATATACACATACTTACATAAATCTTGTTGCTGCCAGCCTTACAAATTTGACAACAATGTAGGAGATAAATGCATTCTTATGATAGCTTAATACTGTAGAATAAAGACTTGTATCTTATGAGTAAAATGGAAGCAACAATGGCGACGCCTATGAGGAAATTTATATTCTGTATGTATGGGAGTTCCTCGTTGCAGAGAAGAGACGGTGTGAACTTTTTTAAAAGAGAACTTTAAAGAAAAATCGAGTCTTATTTCGTTGTTTTGAGCAACTGTTGGATGTGTGTGGGCTTGTAAGTGTTAGATTTGTTGACCATTGTTACGTGTTTTTCTTTGCTGAGCACCGTCTAGCAAGTAGTTGTTCGGCCTGTGAACTGTTGCCACGATGGAATCACAGCAATGGTGGTTTTATCGATGGCACTACCATTAGAGATACATATCGTGTAATAACCGTGCATAAAGTGTAATTACAATCAATTGATTTATACACAACTGATAGGAATTAGTTATAGAGAAATATACATACATATCTATCGAAACTGCACACATATCATGAATGTGACTTCAGCTGTCCTGTCCAATAATTAAGTAGTGTTAAATGTAAAATGAATGAATAAAAATCGTATTTGATATACAACATAATCTTAAAATGTATTTTTTAAAGATATACATTAAAAGAAGACATATCATGAAAGACAGTTGTAAAATAATAGCGTATATAGCGAAAAAAATGTTAACATATCATCGTGTATAGGGAGAAGACAAGAGCTGTAACGTCGGATTCAATTTTTGTTGAATCGATATGCACCGTAACCAAAGAGTTACCGCTTCAATATGTTCGCCATTTTGATGTGATACGTGATAGATATCTACTCTTCATGATAGTGCTTTCATGCACTTTAGAGATAAAAGTGGCGCCATTCTGTAACACACTCCGATATATAACATAACGCAACACAAATTTTGTGGATGTTGCTCTTGTTTGTAAAATAGGCGTCGATAAACGGGCACTGTCCTGATTGAGTTAGCTTCTCATTGGTTTTGATGTGTTTATTATAAAATGGTCGCTCTAAACAGTCAATATTAATTAGTAACTAGTGTTTAGGGAGAAAAAAAAATAGATATATGCATACATGTAGCTTAACATAAAAATGTAATGTTATATATTATATACGTAGGCCTATCTGATATACACTGAATTTATTAATTTTGTATATTTCAAATTTATTTTGTTAACTTTGTATGTGTGGAAGACTAAACACTAAATAAGTCTTTATTTTTAAAACTGTTTTACTTTTAACCTTTATATATTGTTTATCTATCCTTATAAATAAATGATGTATATTCCCAATTCGTTTGTCTTATTATTTCGTCTCTGATTCCACTGAAGTTCAAGAGCGCCTGATTTCCGTTCGAGGTCGGATTTTGTACAAATTTGCATGATTGCTAAAACAGATAAGATCATGCCTCAAACAAATAAAGATCGGCATTAATTTATACCCAACTAACAGATACAAAATGCAAACCTAAATGTCAAAACAATTTGTTCGAACACGTACAAACTTGTCATTTCTATATTTGACTTTTACAAGCTGATTGTTGATGTATCTGTCTTAACTGAGAAATAGATAATATTTAAACACTTAAAAACATCTTCAACTCTAAATTATTGCAACACTGATATAAAAATTTGTCTTTTCGTATTTTAATAGGCTGCTGATTAATCACTGACACATTTTATGTTATAATATAATTACAAAAAAAAAAGTAAATAAAAATAGAACATCAGTGCCTCCGAAACGATGAATTATCTGGACCAATATATATAGTTCGAATTAAAACTATGTCCCTAATAACAGTAAGCAAAACCTAGGATGTGTTTTATCTACCCTACATTCTACTTTCATAATTGCCAATAAATTTTGAAAATATTTTATATACATTATTTTTGGTGAAACTGCATTATTTAGTTCTATTGAAAAACCATCACTGCACAGTAGATTTACTGAGAATAAAACAATGTCAACGACGTCGTTCGACTAAGTGAACTGACTATTGATATTAAATTTAAGGTGTATTTTTCTGTGTTATTGTTAGGTATAATACAAATATTTAAAAATTATTAGCTTTTTAAATTCTAAGCGTTTTTAACGTAATTAAATGTATCTGATAAATTAATATTCACCATCTATAAAAAAGAAAATTAATTATGACATATATGATTTTGAAGAATCAAGTAAATCTTGGTAGCAGCGGCCATGGAACTTTTTCCTCTCGAACAGAAAACCACACCTGATTCATTGTAAAGAACACACTGATTTGTCCTTGTAACGAATATTGTCGGACTTTAGAAATATTTTTCCCCCCTTCCTTTCTGAAAATTAAACTCAGTTTGATTTTTGTACACTGATGACTTCACCATTTTATCAATCACTTGTAAATTTGTCACAATCATCAACGTAATTTGTTAATGAACAGAATACATGAGTTTTTTTAGACCGCAATAAATAATACAAACAAGAATTTAGTTGAAAAATTTTTAGGAAAAAGTCATATCAAGAATGGGTTTTTTGTTATTCAAGAATTATTAAATTTTCAATGTAGCTCTCCCAACAAATGGTCCGGCCTTTTTTATCGTCGAATACTAATTTTGACTCAAGTAAAACTATATTTTAATTTTATTGGGTGCTAAAATGTACCTACAGAGTGAATCATGTCCTTGCCATACACTAAGTCCCATTGATATATATACAGGGTGAGTATTTTAATAACGGGACCCTGACCAATTTTCAATGCAACACAACATACATCTATCAATTATTATTGGTAGATTCCAAAATAAACACATACATTTTTAGGATCATTGTAGGTACTCTCATCCTTACTTGTTGTTACTGTTTCTGAAGGACATCAATCAAAATTTCACAAATGAAATATTAAAAAACCACCAACATATTAATTCAAAGAAATATAATAAATAAATTGAACAATTAAATAAATTTAACCAGCGTAAGTACTGTTCAAAATGCCTTCCTTCCTGTGCAACACACATTTCGATGCGATTTAAGCAAGACAACCGGACGCGGGCAAGTGTTTCAGAAGATATTGCAGCACATGCATTTCTAATTCTGGTTTTTAAATCTTCACAATTACGAATAGGACTTCGGTAAACTTCTTCTTTTACAACCCCCCAGAGTAAGAAATCTAAATGTGTTAAGACGGGACTACTAGGGAGCCATGTATTCACACTGCCTCTGCGAATCCACTTATTTGCAAACGTCTCATCAAGATACTCCATAACGACTCTGTGATAATGAGGTGGTGCCCCATCCTGCTGAAACCACAGCTCTTGTCGGAGATTGAGAGGAACATTTTCGAATAACCGCGGAAAAACATTTTCCAAAAATTGTCGATACCTGTGCCCTGTTAAGTTGCTTTCGAAGAAGTATGGGTCAAATACGTAGTCTGCAATAATACCACCGCACACATTTATGGAATAAACATTTTGAAAATGAGCTGTTCTCATTCAGTATGGGTTTTTCTTGGGAGTAACAACCCCGTTATTACCAAATCTTGCTTCATCGCTGAACAAAACTTTGAATAAAAAATTGTTGTCCAACTCTAGTTGATGTTGCATAAAATTTCAAAATCGTATTCTTCTGGGAAAGTCTTCTTTTAAATTTTGTATTAATGTCACATGGTAAGGGTGGAACTTATTCGCTCTCAAAATTTTTGAACGGCTCCAATTACACGAATTTCATTTTCGATACCAGCAGAGTCCTGTATTTTTTGTTGCTTTCCGCCAATTTTGTCTTAACGTTTTTTCTAAACATCTAAAGATTTGGTCGGATGGATGTCGCCTGTCGGGATATCTTCTTTGGCAGAGATTTGCTGCTGCAACGGCATTTTTTCCGCATTCTCCAAAAACCAAGGTCATATCAACCTTTTCATCGTTCTTATATTTAACCTTCGTCTTATGGCGAAGGCTAAAAACTTATCGGAGCTCAAAATTGACAAATAGAATTATTGCGAAAGTCAAAATTAACTACTTCCTCTGTCCGAAAATATGGTAGGTATACATTTCACAAAATTATTATAATTACCGAGTGATGACTAGCAAATTATAATCAAGTAATTTTGTTTGCAACTTGTGTAATAATGAAACATCATATAATTAGTGGAATGAGATCTACGTTCGTTTCTTTTAAAAAAGTGACCAAGAAAATTACTACAATAACAACAAAATAAATCGACACCTGCTGAATTTAAAAAACAAGAATTGAAGAAGACGAAATGTTGGTGAACTTGGTGGAAAACAGACCCTTCACCACAGCTGTTGAAGCCGTAAGGGTTACCCATTTTCCTGCCAGTGTCAGAACCGCGCAACGTCATCTGAAGCAAAGTGGATTGCGGAATCATATCGCTGCCAAAAAAATGCTGGTTACACCTCGGCCTCGGGAAGCAAGGGTAGGATTTGCCCTGGAGCATTTAGCCCGAGACGAAGCTTTTTCGAGCAGAGTCGTCTTTTCAGATGAAAAAGTTTTCCAGTCGTCTCGCAACGGTTCTATAAGAGTCTATAGGCCTCGAAATAGCCACTACAACGAATGAGCAAAATACCCGTTTTCCGCAAATATCTGGGCATGGATTTGTGCAAGCAGTCCCGGCGTCATGCTTCATATAGAAGACAGTGACGTGTACATCCAGGTTTTGGAAAATGTCATGCTGCAGCATCGGTTAGAAGGATTTTCCTAAATGATGATTTTATATTCCACCAGTACAACTGCCCAGTTCATATTGCTCACAGAGTCGCAGCGTGGTTAAAAAATCATGATGTAAACGTTCTGGATCGGTCCAGTAGAAGCCCAGACCTCAATCCTATTGAGAATATGTGTCTGTTGGTAAAAAACTGCAGCGCCAACGTTTAGTGTTTAATAGCAAGGATGATCTCCTGGCGGTCATTACGGACGCGTGGCATACATTACCCTTAAACTACAATAAAAATCTATGCCTTTCGATGTCCAGACGCTTGGCTAAAGTTGTAGAAGCTAATGGAGCTATGACAAAGTATTAGTTGTTTATTTATGTAATAACTGGTACAAACTGTCATAGAAATTATAAGGAAAATGAAAAATGTATCTTCTGTAAATCTATTTTTTTGACGTTGATGTTATATGTGCCATGACAGATGGATAACGCATATTTGGCCGGCAACGGTTCCGGAAATCAAGCTTGATTCACATTAGAAAATTTTCTTTGTATCAGTTTTATATGTCCACCGATTGTACCTAGAACTATGAACTGACCGTAAATTTTAAAGCCGAATCCGTTATTTCTATTTCGAAAAAATAATCTATAAGTATGCAGCGTACTCAACAGAATTCTACTTCTTTTAAAATTACCACAATGAATGTCCACTATTTTTGATTCACTGAGCTTACGCTACAGCTACCTTCATGTAAGTGTCAAATGTAAAAGTTAAAAATGACAGTTAATTATTTAGGTCAGAAACATCCAAAGGTTGCTTTACACTATCTGATGACACATCGAATTGTTTTTGATTATCCTGAACAGTTTACTATTTCAGTCAGGTCAAAACAGGAATATTTCACCTTTTTATGTAAGTAACGTGGAAGATTATCACTAGTCAGGTGAAAAGGGGAAGAGGGAAATAGAATTTGTAAAATCACGGCAAACGTATGTATCTGAGATTCTATGATGTTGAACTTGCATGGATTTACTTTCAAATTCGTATTATTTGGCTTTCATGTAATAGTAGAAGTCTAACCTGACTGCTGGAAATGTCCTGGTCAATGGTGAGTACAAAGTAACGTAATACAGCGTGTTATTGAAGGGTACGTACAAAACAAAATTGGCAATTGGTCGCGAAGTATGGGTGCTAAAAGTTAAAAAAAATTCAGGTAAAAGTGTTCTCCTTTTAGAGATAAAAATTATTAAAATTTATGTCCAAATTCGTTGTACGCTTCTGATAAAAAGATTATCTTTCGTTTCTATAGCAACATTTAGTCTTGACAAAAGTTTTATTGTTAGAGGTGCTAGGATTTACTAAAATACATTAATTTTACGTGTTTATCCTTCAGTAACGTCTAAAAAGATTGGATAAGGGTTAATTTTCCCCTTATTATTTTGATAACACAAAATAAGTTTTTCAGACTTCTTAGACTTCGCGAAGAACTGTCCATTTTGTTGTACGTACCTTTCAATAACACCCTGCATAATAATTAATAATAATAATCATTCCATCCCAATTTAGAGAAAAGTTTCTCCCGAATGTCGGTCCCTTTCGGACCAATAATATTCTTAAAAATATAATTTAAATTCTTAATCATATTC